GTAAGTTTGACCTTATTCATTCATTCCTGCATTGGATAATTCACTTCGATAATTCACTCTAGCAGTTCCTCTGATATACCATTCAATTTGTACTTCATTTTGTCTTAGACATCTGACCTAACTAAAAGTTATTAGTGTTTTACGTTACAAATTGCTTCAGCGGTTTCAAATGTTTATTAGGAAAACAGAATCACAAAGACACTTCTTCCAGTATTAGGTGAATAGATAAAGGACATTCAAATAGCTTTGTAAAAAATTCATATAGGTGTTGCTACTTTTCTCCCAACACTGACTGCTAAATAATGTACAGATGCACATATATCTCTGTTCTGATCGTATCCTTCCATCCACATATTTTTTGAAAACACGGTTAAATGACATAGACACTTGTAACATTTATAAATCGTATGAAGAATGATGGTGATAGATCCTCTAAGAATTGTCGGCTTGATAATAAAGGAGTGGGCATACGCATCAAACATGTCATTTCAATGTAGGTATTTGTAACTTTGTAATTTCATGAGATGAACTGAAAATCGTCGGAGTTTCGTAATTTTTCTCTTCCTCTATCCTCACAGATTGTTTATTTAAAGTGTTAAATAATTTAACATAACTCTGTGACCTCTGATAATAGTTTCTGATAAACTAGAATAAGGTGACATCTGACCATTAACCTGACTTTGGCTATTCAATTCACATTGAATTAAACTAATTAGTGTCATGGCTACGCGGCCAATAATCTGTGTGTGTCTTGCTCGCGTGCATGCACCAAACTCATAACAATAATGAAGTACAAAAGGAGTCATTGCAAGTATAAGTAAAAAGACTTTGGGGTAGTAATGGTGACGAAAAAATAATTAAGTTCATGCACTTAAATCTACTAACAAATATTGCCTAAGAAGATTTTTTTGAAATTCTATACTAAAACTTAATATATTTCTGTATCTGAAATTATATTGATATTATGACGAAAGGTCAGTCCAAATACCAATCCGTAACAATTTAAAAAAAAAACTTGGAGAGAGGATGGTATAGCAATAAAAAGCAAACCAATTCAGGCCGAGAATGGACCTCGTTTAGCTAATGTGATCCATGAAACAAGTCCAGAAAGTCAATTATTTTATGAACCAAAAATTCATGACGAATAAGATATTGAGAAATATTTACAAATACATGGCACGAACGTGTGCATTAGTAAATAAATGTAATTGTAATTTATATATAATATTCGTGATGTTTTAGATATTTTCTAATTAGTCTTAAAGTCTGTCGAGGTCTAAAGGGTATGGCAACAAAACTAAATACTTTTATTACTAAATGTTACATTTTGACAGGTTTTAAGCAGAATAATGGACGATCAACTCAAACAGAAGTAGGCATTTGTTTTGGCGTCGACAATTCTCATCATAACATCAATGGCCACATTATATGCAAAACTATTATATGGGCGAACGCACTGAATACCAGATCAATAAAGTGATAAAAACTAAAATGTTTCAATTACATAAACAGATATGAGTGGGGTAAATGCAATGTAATATATAGTACATATATCTAGTGAAGCATACAAAAAGAACTAATGCAGTAAAAATGTGGAGCAAATTCGCTATGATGGTTACAGATAACTTATATACTTTATTAGTAGCTGGAGAAAGCACAGAACCTTTGCAACCACTATCTGAGGAACAAATTAGTAAAGAAGTTCGAATATTCCTCGACACAGATGTTTTCAACTCTGACGAAGCGTTCCTGTCTCTGTGGGATATGGGTGGACACATGTCGTTCCAGGCTTCACACAGCGTCTTCATTTCTTCGCACGGCGTGTACCTTCTAGTCTTCCGATTGACCGATATTCTGGAAGAAAAACTGGAAACAGGCAAGTAACTGAACAGCTACTTGATAGTGACTTCACTTACAGTCATTCCAAATAGTAAAATCATACCATTGACAGGGAAAATTATAAAATAGTCGACACTGCAAACAACGTTTTCAGACGGTTGGTTAAGGAAGCCATCTGGACCACACTGGTCGTTTGTCTGATCAAAGTGACCGTGTAGTCAGCGAAACGTCATAATCTACTGGTTGTGTTATAAGAACTTCTATCCTATGGCCAGCTTATTGCTGTCCTAGTTAAATATGGGAAACAACTATTTACCAAAGCTAGACAAAACTAGAACATGTGATGAAACAATACGAAGATTTGCCGTACAAATGTCTATCTTTGCTGAAAGCAATTAATGTAATTTCTTGTAATTCAATATCTACCTTTTATAATAACGTTATATATGAACATCTTAAAACGGGTAATAACAGAATGATTGTTAATTTGTGCGAAAAATATAATTCAAGCACTTTTAAATTGAGTATTTAGCTAAATGTTCCATAAAAGTTTTAAACTGATAGTGCTATCATGTAAAGGTTTCACACAAGAAATCCTTTTTCGTCTTTTTTTCCACCTGTATTGATTGTTTATTGGTTTGACAGTCCGACTGAAAAAATGGATAAGAATGATTGGCACGTTTTCCGCAGTCAAACTGGATGCGCATAAAACAAGATCGCATGCTCCTCCAATCATTTTCGTCGGCACATTTCTTGATAAGTTGAAGAAAAACACCAAGGTACGTAATGAAAATTCCCAGTATATGTGAAATTGATAATAACCCGCCTATAATTTGGATATTTGAAACAACTTTGACTTTCTCATAATGACGATTAATAAGGGTGCCCTTAATTATGTTGACGGTTAGAGTGGCACAGTGCTAGCGTTCTCGTTTTTCCTCAAACAATGGTGATTGCAGATGTAGCTGATGGCATAACTTGCTTCCAAATTTTATTGTAAAAATAAAGTCTATAACTTAGCTTTTCGCTAACACAGTATCATCATCACACACAGCTAACACAGTATCATCATCACACAAAGCTAACACAGTATCATCATCACACACAACTAACACAGTATCATCATCACACACAGCTAACACAGTATCATCATCACACATAGCTAACACAGTATCATCATCACACACAGCTAACACAGTATCATCATCACACACAGCTAACACAGTATCATCATCACACATAGCTAACACAGTATCATCATCACACACAGCTAACACAGTATCATCATCACACACAGCTAACACAGTATCATCATCACACACAGCTAACACAGTATCATCATCACACACAGCTAACACAGTATCATCATCACACACAGCTAACACAGTATCATCATCACACACAACTAACACAGTATCATCATCACACACAGCTAACACAGTATCATCATCATAAACCACTCACACAGTATCATCATCACACACAGCTAACACAGTATCATCATCAGCTAACACAGTATCATCATCACACACAACTAACACAGTATCATCATCACACACATCTAACACAGTATCATCATCACACACATCTAACACAGTATCATCATCACACACAGCTAACACAGTATCATCATCACACACAGCATCATCACACACACACACAGTATCATCATCACATCATCATCACACAGCTAACACAGTATCATCATCACACAGCTAACAAAGTATCATCATCACACACAGCTAACACAGTATCACCATCAGATACGGGTCACACAGTGTCATCATCCGACACAGCTTACACAGTATCATCATCACACAGAGCTACCACACTAGCATCATCACACACAGCTAACACAGTATCATCATCACACACAGCTAACACAGTATCATCATCACACACAGCTAACACAGTATCATCATCACACACAGCTAACACAGTATCATCATCACACACAACTAACACAGTATCATCATCACACACAACTAACACAGTATCATCATCACACACAGCTAACACAGTATCATCATCACACACAACTAACACAGTATCATCATCACACACAACTAACACAGTATCATTACCAGACAGAGCTAACACAGTATCATCATCACACACAGCTAACACAGTATCATCATCACACACAGCTAGCACAGTATCATTAATAGACACAGCTAACACAGTATCATCATCACACACAGCTAACACAGTATCATCATCACCCCACTAACACAGTATCCTCATCACACACAGCTAACACAGTATCATCATCAGACACAGCTAACACAGTATCATCATCACACACTGTTGACACAGTATCATTATCAGACACAGCTAACACAGTATCATCATCACACCAGCTAACACAGTATCATCATCACACACAACTAACACAGTATCATCATCACACACAGCTAACACAGTATCATTAATAGACACAGCTAACACAGTATCATCATCACACACAGCTAACACAGTATCATTATCACACTAACACAGTATCCTCATCACACACAGCTAACACAGTATCATCATCACACACAGCTAACACAGTATCATCATCACACACAGCTAACACAGTATCATCATCACAAACACCTAACACAGTATCATAATCAGCCAACAGCTAACACAGTATCATCATCACAAACAGCTAACACAGTATCATCATCACACACAGCTAACACAGTATCATCATCACACACAGCTAACACAGTATCATCATCACACACAGCTAACACAGTATCATCATCACACACAGCTAACACAGTATCATCATCACACACAGCTAACACAGTATCATCATCACACACAGCTAACACAGTATCATCATCACACACAGCTAACACAGTATCATCATCACACACAGCTAACACAGTATCATCATCACATACGGATCACACAGTATCATCATCAGATGCGGGTCACAGGGTATCACCACTAGACACAACTAACACAGTATTATCATCACACACAGCTAACACAGTATCATCATCACACACAGCTAACACAGTATCATCATCACACACAACTAACACAGTAGCATCATCACACACACCTAACACAGTATCATCATCACCCCACTAACACAGTATCATCATCACACACAAATAACACAGTATCATTACCAGACACAGCTAACACAGTATCATCATCACACACAGCTAACACAGTATCATTATCAGACACAGCTAACACAGTATCATCATCACACACTGTTGACACAGTATCATCATCACACACAGCTAACACAGTATCATCATAACACACAGCTAACACAGTATCATCATCACACAGCTAACACAGTATCATCATCATCACACACAACTTACACACATCACACACAGCTACACAGTATCATATCACACAGTACACAGCTAACACAGTCAGACACGGCTCACACAGTACACATATCAGTATCATAACACACTAACACAGTATCATCATCACACACAGTATATCATCATAACACAGTATCATCATCACACAGCTAACACTGTATCATCATCACACACAGCTAACACAGTATCATCATCACACACAGCTAACACCGTGTCATCGTCCGACACAGCTAACACAGTATCATCATCACACACAGCTAACACAGTATCATCATCTAACACAGTATCATCATCACACACAGCTAACACAGTATCATCATCACACACAGCTAACACAGTATCATCATCAGATACGGGTCACACAGTATCATCATCACACACAGCTAACACAGTATCATCATCACACACAGCTAACACAGTATCATCATCAGATACAGGTCTAACAGTATCATCATCACACACAGCTAACACAGTAACATCATTAGACACAGCTAATTCAGCATCATTGTTTTGTTTACAGAGTGCCATGAGTGACCAGCCATAGTGAACAGACACTTATTATATATATATATATATTATATATGTAAACATTGGAATTTCGACAAATAAACCGTGCACAGTGTCCCCATGTAGTCATATTATCTAACTTAGTCGAACGCTGATTACAAGTTGTATACTAAGGCATCAGTTATGTTTTTATTTAATTATTATAAATCTGTAACATGCATTAGGTATTTATAGCAAGTTTTGTATCAGCATGTCACGTAAAGCAATCAAATTTTTTCGTAACCAACTTTCTATCTCACAGAAAAATAAGTTATTTAGCGAATACTTTATAACTTTGTTATTTCACTGCACGGGATGCGTGGTTAACCTTTGAACTATCATTTCTATATTTCTTCTTAGATACCTTCACTGCACCAGGTCTGTGATTTATTTTCGGGAGTTTGATTACATCATCACCGACCCCCAGTGGCTTGCTGACTTCTTCAGTATCTTTCTTACCGATGACCAGTTTCTCCCGATTGGCGACCTCCTGATGACCCGAGACCTGGAGCTGTACACAACAAAGGGCGAATTGACTCAGAAATTAATTGAAGGTCTTCTGAATCTGCCAAAGAATCGTGCTTTCATTCCATATCAACCCGTTCTTTTGGCGCTGATGGAAAAATTTGGATTGATAGTGAAAATGGTGACGTCGTCAGGATCCGCAACTGAACACCCACAGTTCAGTGAGACGTATACGATCCCCAGCAAACTGATGGAGCTGCAAAACATGGATGTGATAACCAGTGAAGTCACCAGTCTGAAGCGCAGTCTTCGTGCCATTTCTACAGCGTTATGCTTCGTATTCACCGATGTATACGTACCTGACGAGTTGTTTCACAGAATCTTCGCCCACATCCTTAGGATGTACACTCCAACATCACTGTCAACACGAAGCCTCCAAACTACGACTGAAATAGACCAGACGAGGCCGAGACGTGAACACGTGTGTCTTTATAGAGGTTTTGGGTGTTTTGAGGTCAACGACATCTGTAGATTTATCATTTCCATGCAACCAGAGAGGTCCACAATTGTTGTGACTGTATTCAGTCCAACGGAAGCCCATCTCCCCGCAGGTAGTGGAAAACAAGTCAGACTCTCAATAGAAGGAATTATTCGTGACGCCTTGGAAATGAGTAACCAGCAACACTTTCAGTATACACATCAACTACACTGTAACTTCTATCTGAGTCCATACGACACCCCTGTACACCGGTACGGCGTCATCAACTCAGAGATGGGCGTACCCTGTAAAGGGGAAGATTGTCAAAAACGGCACATACTGTCGAAAACAGACACCTCATTTTGGGACATAACACAGGTAACTGTCTGTCTGTATGTATGTCTGTCTGTCTGTCGGTTTGCTCGCTGGCTACCTGTCTGTCTGTCTGCCTGTTCAACCTGATATTTCCTGGATGGTTTCATCATCATTTCCGACAATGAAATTTCATTTTATTACTTATTATAAAAATCAAAATATTCTTGTCCAATATTTTTAAGGAGTATTTGTGTCTTATCAACATGAGTTCGTGGTGTAAAGTATCAGATCAAATTAGGTCTATATTTTATTGATGTTTTCTCTACAACAACACTACTCAAATGAACGATATATTGTTGAAGATTTAAGTGAATATATGTGGTCCTTATCATTCTATATTTGTTTTAGGATTCCGTTCAAGCGAAAGGGTCAAACATTGGTGAGTGTTATATATATATATAACTAAGTAAGCGTATTTAAATACTAAGAAAGTTGTTGCTTAACAAAAACTTTCTTTGTTGGTTTATTTCAATATATGTGGACAAATTGTGGTTTCTTTGCATAGATATCTATGTGAAAACATTGATATTTATGATATTATATATTTATATTCACCGAGACGTCAGGTTAATGACTCAATAGCAACGTACAATCCATTATTCTCAATTTTATTTCGCTCTCGCTAAGAGCTATTTAGTTCTGTCCACAACTTCACCAAAAAAAATATATTTTAAGATCACAAATTAGTCCATATTTAATTTTCATCTAAGATGTAACGGGGAATATTTTTGTTATTGATATGTTTTAGAAACGACGAATGGTGACACGACATTTCCAAACAGAAGGCCAACCGCGCGGGAACTTGGTCGCTTGTCCTATATAGTAAGCGCGTCTTCTTATGAGCTGCTGTTTGTTGAGCTTGGAGTTCCTTACCCAGAAATCGAATGCATGGAACTTGAGTCATCAGAATTAGCGGCAGTTACTCTGATCACCAAGTTGTTTCTGAAGTGGACAAACATCTACCCGAATCAGACATTCCATCACATCGTCCTGGCTATGAAGGAACATGACATGGCAACTGATCGGATTGTTGAAACAGTGGAAGCAGAACTAGGACCACAAGGCGAAGGTAATAAGATATCAATTTGTATGGCTTACTTTGTGATTATTAAATATTATCTTATTTACTGTTTGCTTTATATGTAAGAGATCAGGAACAGGTATATGTTGAAGTGAAGCAAAACTCATTTTAAGTCAGTTTACGATCTGTGTAGCTTCTGTTCATTAAAACGTCATATCATGAACCAATCCGCACCGAATGATACTCATAGATTACTAAGTAATTTTGGTGTGTAAAATGTATTGATTTCTATCGCCAATGTAATAAACTAATAGTAGGCAATACTATTATTATATAAATGTTCTTATCATATGCAAAATTAGTATGATATGAGTATCTCTCATTGATTTTTGACTATGTCATGCCAATTCTAATTCGCGGTTACATTAAGCAGTCGTACATTCAATGACCATTTCAAACACTAACAATGATTCTAAACGTTAGCTGAATTTGGTGTCGTCATTATATTGTTGTTGTGATGATACACTGAATTCAGCATGTACACAAAGCACTACAGCCCATATCTGCAAATGGTGCAAATGTGAAATCCAAACAGTCCTCTGGTTAGAAAATTCGGATCAACATTTGATTTCATCATACCTACCATTCAGTATTGTTAATATAGATCCAAACTTAACTGTATAGTATATATAAATATTCATTTTATCTTACTACGTCATCATGCTTGAAATTCTAAAAGTACTTGATGAAAAATTTCAAAGCGAAAGTAAATAAGATATGCCAAAACATGTAACTGTCCTATACACTTAATTATACTTTCCCACACGTCCCCAGGATAGAACGTTTTGCAATCGATTAACAATGTCGAACTGTTGTTCTAACTTATTTAAGTTTAATCCTCAGTATTTTCACGAATGCATGTTTCGAAACTTTGTCAACTTTAGTCAAGAAGTGAGCAAAACGACAAATAAGCGATGTACGTAATAAATTCGGAAGCAAAAATACGAGAACACTTATTTCAGAGAATATATTTCAATGTCCTCATTTTCGTCGACAATTTTTATTGATTTCCACATTTTCTAAATGTATTTCATATTTTATCAATATCTTATATATTTGTAAGTAGTTTCATCTTATGTGTCACTTTTTCCATCTTGCCTAAAGGTTCTGTCACATATCTTGTTCAATTTTTTCATCTCTTTGCTTGAATTTAGTGTCTTGTATTTCTGTTTTATTTAGTTCCTAGAGAGGTTTCGGATAGAGTTCCAAATGATTCTGAAATCCAACTCATCATCAACAACATCGGCCACGAATTCTTCAACCTCTGCTTGGAGATCGGATTATCACCTCCAACCATAGAGCAACAAAGATGTTGTCATCCTAGCAACTTTAAGGAAATGATGACAGCTCTTTTGCAGTGCTGGAAGAAGACTTTCCAAGGGGAGGCTACTATAGGCAGGTTGTTGACGGCCATGAGAATGTGTCAGATGGACTGGCATACAACAGCACAAATCTGGAATGAGTGAATGTGTCAGGGAATGAAGATTCTAAACAAAGACGTTAAGTCAAGTATGCAATTATGTAACACAAAACGTTAAAAATTTAAACCCCGTATTATTTTTCCTTACATTAGTGTCCTTATACATTTTAGATTAATTTTCTTCATTATGATATATTAATTAACATCTGCTTAATTTCGGTAATGAATTGATCTATCAGGATATCTAACCGTAAGACATTTAAATGTCATTATTGAGTCATTGGATGAATCCAACTCTTAACGAATTTATGCAAGTGATTCTATGTATGTTTTGTAAAAAGATATACTTTGAAATTTCGATATTGATCAACTAACATTTATTTTTTTATATCACTAATACCTAAGAAGTCGATGAGATATGTTTTGTATTTTCAGTTGTCACTTATGTCCGCTATTTACTTTTGTTCTAACTATTTGTACATTTTGTCGTTACATAAAAGTCCCTAGTGATTAGGTTCTCGGATATCACTGGCATGATACATCATGTAGATGTTTTTAAAGATTTGGTTGACAATAAGTAACCCAGAAAGATACACACAGAATTTCATATCTATCCACATGTATACTTTACTAGCATGTTGTCTACGCTGGTTATAGTAATATTTACATCAGTGATTAAAGGGGCAGTCTATTGTAGGTCATATATCTATATATATGATACACTGCCGAACGAGTAAAAAAAAACCCGAACGTCATAAAGATATATTGGCAATTGGATTTCATGATAGATTTTAAAACTTCTAAGTGACAACAGTCTTTTACGATAAAAAGAATATCAATAGCTTGCATGTGTTCTGTAAAACGAAGACGGCTCTTTATAATGTCGATGTTGATACTTTGATATTCAGTGATTATCTGAATGTAATTATGTTGATTGTCCATTATACATTACCAATGTGATAACTTGATCAGTAAAGTTAACATGTCCACGAGAGAGATGGAAGTATATTGCAAGATAAAAACGTTTAAAGTAATGGAGCTATTGCCTTCTTAATGGGTAAGTTTAATAAGTAATTATCTACATCGGTACAGCCTAAACAAGGGGACAACACTTTTCCCTTATATGCAATAAGTTTCCTACAATGAAAATTGAAAGGGTTTGAACACAAATTTATGCTTTTCCCTAACGTTTACAAAGCGTTCATACAAGTTTGTTTTAATCAGCATAAGCGTTTACAAAAATTGAGATTTGAGTCAGTGTTAAAACCTTAAAAATAAAATATCTGATAAGTATAACGTAAGGCATACAGTTTAAAACTTTAAAAAATACTTTCCTCTCCGTCACAACAAATTGTGAGTTCTATTTTTAACGCTATGTATAAGTATGATGTTGGAAGTTTTATATAATTACCTTATATTTATTGATATCATTAATACAAAAACATTACTGTATAACCTTGTATCACTTGTAGTATGAGCGTATGTTAAAGATAAGTTACTGAATTGACCAATTAGACGTGATGACTACCGTATGTCTATTTTACTTTGCTTTATTTTCCTTTATCTTGATCTTTAAACTTTTATCATTTCCTGTTCTGAAGAAAAGGGAACATTCGACAAGGGTTTATTTCATCTTCGCATGCAATGGTTTGTTTTCGACCTGTATTGAATTCACGTCCAAATAGATAACCAAATGTTTTATCTACACCTTTAAACTAGAGCACCTTTACGTTTCACTCATTGTGCAACACGGCGAAATGATCAAAAGTTAAACTACCGTAAAAGCTTTCCTGGTCATGCGTGCTTATGCATTATTTTGTACCATGTTTTAATTTCGTGACTTATATACTATTTTTGCAACGGAAGTGTGTCGATATCTTTAGCCTAAATAATACTGTATATAAACCCCTTAACAAAAAATAAATAAAATAATAAAAAACAGACATTTGATATCGTAGTATAGTCATCTTCAACTTTTTTGCTTGATAAGGATTGTGGGTCCATTCATTAAAGATTTTGTAGTAATTTTTGAACATACAATATATAAGGAATTGTTATGAGATGTATTGATGTTGTTGAACGAATAAACAAAGGTAAAATAACCGCTGTTATCATAAACGAACCGCTTGTTTGACTACACTTGTTGGTAGTGTACGATAAAAATATGTACTAATTTATCTATATTATAAATAAAAGAGCATATATCCAGAAATTATGAAATTTATTTTTCTTTATTAATTACATCACCGACTTATTTACATTTCAAATACATCACAATACAACATTTAATTTAATTTAATTTCAAATTTAATTACCTGTATATCAACATATCATTCATCCCAACGAAAACTTGAATATGACGACAACACAGAATATACGCGTTATAGTAACGATTGCTCCCCATACAACGACTTGATTTAAATACATTGACTTGGCTTTTTAAGATATTTCATATAATCGTTGCACACCTTTTTGTAAACTAACATACTTTTTACAATCGAATAGTTGTTGTGTACTTCATTATAATCAAATGGACATTACATTCTTCGAAATGATTACAAAGAAACAAGGAGAAAATACTAACACGTGAACATAATCATAATCCAAACCCATATTCAATAAAACTAGGGCAAAATATGAACAAAAGAGTTACGGAAACACCTGAAAAAGTACAAGGAGAATAAGACCAGGTGTTCAGGCCCAGTACGCGTCTTTTGCTTCATTCACGACACCCGCCATCTTGGTCAATGCAAGTAAGTAATTTCACGTTCTCAAAAGACAGCAAGGTGTAACACAACGGAGGCAAACTAATGAGTATCAAACACTTCCAGCTTCATATCCCACAATATTTCTCAATGCGATCACTGCGACGCCCGCAAAACTTCCCCATAACTTCCACCGACCTACATCTGTTGTCAGTTGACGACATTTTTCACAAAAATATTGATATTGGGAACAGGCCCTTGAACATTGAAAAAACTGAAGCAACGTAAGCACTATAGATTGGTAATGCAGGGAAAATTCACAATAGGGAAATTGAAGTCATCACGCTTATAATACAGCTTGATGGAACGATGTCATGTCGGTCTTTTTGTCGTTTCCTTTATAATAATATCAACTAGGAACACATCTGATTTACTGTTCGCTATCAGCAATGCGCACATCTTTAACTCCACCATACTTGAAAGGACAGTGTTTAAAATGTATTTCAATTCGCTTAGTAGAAGAAATGTGTTAAGTTATTAATATAAGATATGAACTGACACCATCGAAAACTTTAAAATTAATCTAATGCGGGCCAGTCCTATCATCAAGTGCGTTATTTATGTGTGGCAACCACTCGCCGTTTCTTCCCTCCTCCTTCATATCTAAATGAAGGTGACCTCTGCTGTTAATGCAAGCATTTGCATAAGCTGATTCTGTTGATGGACATTTTGTCAAGATGTTTGCCATGTTTTAATCCATAGAGTGACATGTTTAATAATTTACACGTGTGTTTGACGTTCTATTAAAGTACCATTTGGAATGGAATGCATTGATATTAAATGCATGATGAGTCCATTGAAGTTTACGCTTCCCACTGCGCAGTATCACATCGTAAGAGCAATCATTCATTAACAGATGCCGCTCAATATGTGTCCTTTAATTTTCTGCGTAGAAATAACTGGTTATGTTATACCTTAATTGGCCTTTCCAGCCATCAGGTGGATCTTTGACTCAAGCTATATACCGGCAGGGTGATCCAAGCCCTATCAGGAACTTGTCGGCTACCGCCGCTGCATGTTATTGTCTCCCAGCCTGGTGCGACAGATGTATGTGCAATTTCTTCCTATGGCAATAATGTATTATTTAACAAATTTATATATATATATATAGATATATGATTTGAATGAAGTACTACATGAAAAGAAGACCGGATACTCGACCTATGTTTCGGAGTTTGTATACTTATATATGCAACCAAAAAAGTCACCTGAAAGTGAATTTAATAAATTGAATAAACATTTTTACTTGATACCAGTCTTGGATTTCAGACATCGAGGAGACCGCCAGTCTTATTTCGCATTCACAGTGAGCGGAAAGTGTGTAGATTAAGTATGTTGTATTCTAAGTTGCTTTCTTTGTTGGTAACTTATATGTGATCAAAGATATTTTTTCTCTTCGTTGGTTCCCTTCATTAGCTATAGGAACACATACATGATACAGGAAACACTGCTGCAGGCAACATAGTGTTTTGATGCCTTTCAAGTATATATTGGGAAGATCAAACCTGGCATATAATTTGCTATTTTGGCAGTTTAGTTAGAGGCAATATTCATTTGTTGCAGTGTAAATATCGTCATTGTACAGGTAAGTTAAGCAAAAAGTATTCACCATAATCATTGGTTTCAAAGGACAATCATTGTTAGATGAAAAGAATCTTCCTGTAAATGTAAGCTGGTTTCATTAGCAAACTGTGTTAACAAAAGAGAAGATTTATGGCGATACTTCATTCCCAATGAAACAAACGTTGCAGTAGTCTGCGTTGAGATTTCAAAAGCAAGTTTTTATCAGCAAGCATGGATGAGCCGGTACCAGTGTCTAATTACATTATACTAAGGTCTCCAGTACTGTTATCATATGGCATATGGGATGGACTGTTGTATAACTAACTAACCACGATGAACATATTTCTATGGGCCATTTAACAGATACAGTTATCTAGTCTTCATATGATAAAGAGATGTATTTGTCAGACGGTGGTTGCTAAAAACTAAGAAGTGTTAATTTTGACATGTATATCGCTTGGAAAAATTGAATAAATTTTCATCTGCGTAGGTAATTTAGCATCCAATATATATATTACAAAATTCACATCTGTTTTCAAAAACAAAATCAACAACTGCTTTCTTCGCAGTGGTGAAGCGCTTTCACCACTTCGAGGTTCTGCTGGTTTAATGGAGGCTATTATGATGTTATAATTGACGTGACGTTATCTTTTTCAAAATCATAGAATACGTGCCACGCTAAGGTGTCATAAATTTTGACACTTATGAACTACGACTACAATTTTCAAATTAAGTAAAGGTCAATATTTGTTTCAAACTTTCATGTTATCCTCGACTACGTAGAATTGTATGTTTATTTATAACGTTTTGTCATATGACCATTAAATTTTTAAATCAAGTTTTGAATTTCAGAGTTAATTTTTTTTATTGTCTTCAAATAACAATTAATTTGTTAGTCACGTCCATCGTACGAGAACTGATTGATAAGTTGTAAGCATTTTGGTGGACATATTGCGTTGTTTTTCAACAAAATCCCATTCAGTATCAATACACATTTGTCAGTGATGTTTAAGGGCCTCAATGTACCTTTGAAAGAAGTCATTCTTCGACTGAGGTCCCTTCATTTTAACTGAAAAGAAGTAGTCTTCTAAGGATGTTACATACGTAGATTCATGTCTGTTTCTGTTTCATTCTTATCGCTTAGGTTATGAGCACTCTTACAATATACAGTCCTTAACCAATTCAATATGACGTTCTTATTATTGTTTTCAGTGTTTTCCCAATATTAAAGTCAATCTTTTTGAAACTGGGTTTTATGTATTTCTCAGTGTTATATTTCCATAAGATTATTCCACAATTGCTTGAAGTAAGAGAACATATTAAAGAGTTATCAAAATTAATCGTTTCTTTCATGTCCATTCTTTTCTAATTGAAAAAGAAAATGTGACTTGTTCTTGCATATTTGATGTTATACATAATTATGAACACCGGATTCTATTGACTGATTGCATTCCGACAGTGATATCTTACATCGATTACAAAGAATCTTTCCATTTCCTGATTGTAAATTTCCCATTTACATACCTCCCTTTCATTGAACATTCACGGACTAGCTCATAATTTATTTAAAGATTTTTTGTTGAGGGATTATCTAACCTGTTTCTCACATTAAGCTCATGTCTTATTTTTTTTATAATATACTCAACATTTCACACAAAAAAAATGAATGATACCTCTTTAATGGTGATATAAAATAACTGACATGCGCAGCAGAGTTTACGATAGAAATCAAGAAGAGCTCCAGATTGTAAAGCTTTCATTACTTAACTGACACCGTCACACAAAACCAATCTAGATAAATCCAGATATAGCTGTAAAATAGTTATAATCTATCTCTGTTTTACATGACTACTGTCTCTTTCGATTATTTTTACTTCACAGAAAGAAACAACGCAATCATATGACATTTATACATATATTTATGCATGCATTTATGTCTGATAACAAAATCGGAAGATTTTCGAGTTCTGCTTTTCAGAAAATTTGAGTATCAGTGCTTCTGATCACTTATTAATGTTTTGTCAAGCACACATTTGCTATATCTCTAAACTCTGTGCACTAATTGCCATACAATGATTCAGGGGTATTTTTCTCAACTAGATAAATTTCCAACTTTGTTATCTCGAAACCTCTTCGAAGCATTTCGTTGGTCCCTGCTGACTTTACACAAAACATTCGAACTCACTTAAATCGAATACTCACTTAAATCGAAGTTTTCCCATGGTCCCGTCGAGTTTGAGATAACGAGGTTCGACTGTATTAAGAACAAGTTCAATTTTGATATCAGGTAGGTCACGTAGATTTCCTTTAGATAATGGTTGGTTAACAACAGTTATGTTAACAAGAGATGAGTGTGAGCAACAGTGTAAAAGTCAAAGTGTAACATAAACACAAAGGGAAAGCGCCCACTTCCATCCACTTCCCCATATATATAAGATATTTATAAATCGCTTAAAGGCGAAATCGACATCGATGTCAATCATGTGGTCGTCTCAGAGTGAGAGTCTTTGCGTATTGAAATTAGCCTTGGGTAATACGGTCTTTTATTCAAAGAGGTAGTGGGAAAAAATATGCTAAATTTTCAGTGTAAATTTAAGTATGATTGCTTATCATCTTTAATGATGCCTTTTTTCTCAGTCGTTCAAAAATGAGAAAGAATCAGTGGTTCGACTTTGTTTACATTTACCACACATAGATTATTTATTTTGTATACATGGACCTATGATTTATATAATTAGGTATTCGATAGAATCTTTCTTTGTTGCCGGCTACGAAAATATATCCTAAACACTTACAATACTGGCTTACAACC